AGTGCTGGGATTAAAGGTGTGTGCCACTACAGCCTGACCCTAGATGCACAGTTTTAATCTTAAATTATGTACTCTTCCATGCCTTCCACCCAGAATAATAAATGTGTGAATGCATGTGTTACGATCATCATTTGCTGAAAATCATTCAGCCAATGCATTGAAAGAGATCCCAGTGGCAAACATCCCATAAATGGTAGAAACAACATTGCAAATGTAGGAAGACAACATCTGTTTTCAGTTTTGAATGTTCTGCGCCAGTGAAATAACTTCTTCCCTTGTAAAACTCTGCTGGGGCTTTCTGCAAGGAATCTTTCATTTCTTTCCTATACCAGGTTTTCCAGGCTGCTCAGTAAATACAGAGCAAAGCTTTTTTTTTTTTTTTTTTTTTGTTAGGGACAGGCAGATTGAGACATACACAGCACAGTAGACAGGCAAAAGGAATAGACATTCAGAGGACACTGGGAAAGAAATGGAGAATTCAAATTTGGGCTTGTTTTGGTCAAAGTAATACAAGAGAAAGTCAGTGTTTTCATTCATTAATGTGACATCTATGAATTTTGGTGCCTTCTTTAGGTTTCTTTATTATGTTAAAGAATATATTAAACAGGGCAGGGATTTCTTTATTAGTCATAGAATAGGATCAGCTTACTTTGGCAGACAGAAATGACTATATTTTCAAATTGTGTTTTCTTGGATTTCTCTGAATGCAAAAGGTTAAAAACCAAGGAGTATGGTGGTGTATGCCTTTAATTCCAGCCCCCCAGGAGACAGAGGTAGGCAGCCTTGTCTACACAGCAAGTTCCAGGACAGCCAGGGCTATAAAAATCCCCATCACAGCTGAAACCAAACCAGACCAAACCAAACCAAAACCATTACAAGCTAAATTTGTTGTGAGTACTTTTGGTAACAAAACGTTATAGGTCCCAGAGAAGTATCCATATTTATTTTTTTGTGTGGTATCATTCTCCCCCCCCCTTTTTTTTAAAATAGGCTTATTTATTCCTGAACTCTCAGCATTTCAGAGTGGAGACAAGAGGATTAGAAGTTATAGTCACACTCACATACATAGAGGTTGAAGCCAGTCTGGATTACACAACACCCTTTCTAAAAACATAACAACAAAAGCAAGTACACATACATAAATGGTTATCACTTTCTGGAATGTGATAGCAAGCTTTAGATCTAGGGGATTGAAGAACTGGGGATTTATTTCCCAGGTCGTCCCCTGCCGGCTTCCCTCAGCATCTGAGACAGGGTTCTCGGTGTATCCTCAGCTGTCCTGTAGTTTTCTCTGTAGATGAGGCTGGCCTCATACTTGGAGATCCACCTGCCTCTGCCTCCTGAGTGCTGGGATTAAAGTCGTGAGCCACCACCTGGCCCCCAGGTCTACTTCTACTGTAGGAAACATTAATATTCTGGGTTAAAGTGTGAGCTCCCCAAAAGTCACATGAACCTTAATTACCAGTGTTAGGTAGGGTTTGTGAAGGAAGGTCCATAGGGAGCTCTATCAAGAAAGAGGGGCTGTGCCCCATGTAAGGGGCACAGTAAAGCATCTTGTGGGTGAACCACAAGATGAGCCCTCAGCAGACTCGGAAGCTCCTCGCTTTAGCAAGGTCAAGAGTAAGTTTTGTTTTTATAGGCTATTGTAGTGGCATCCTTTCTGATGCTCCCTGGAACCCAAGTGAGCCCCAGGCAGCCCCTCCTCTACCTTAGTGGGTCATGTCTGCACCTGAAACCATGCCCAAGTAAATTACAAGTTCACTTTGGAGGCAAAATGCCACTACAAGGTTGTTTGTGGCACTTTATTGTAGCCCACTGGACTAAGAAAACTATCATCTTCTCAATATTTTCAAAGTCAGTAAGAAAATGACTTTTTATCAAACACTGAAAAATAAAACAGAGCAAATATAGTTCTTTAGAACAGAAGTGTTTTTCATTGGTTTGGAGACGGGTTGAACGGGAAGGACTAAAATAATGCAAGCCATTCTATATTTAGTAGGATTGTAGTTTGGGGCTTTCCCCAGACACTGACTGTGAAATGATGTACATGAGCTGCTGGAGCCACCACACAAGCAAATTCATCACACCTCAGACTCTATTGGGCTCCACAAATCATTGCTTAGGGCTATTGTATGACAAGGGTATTGTGATAAAGTGTGCAGCACAAGGCAGCCACCAATTGCGAGTGTTAGTATTCAGGCATCTGTACTGGCCTGTCCTTGGGGTTCTGACAGGATATGTAGTCCTCAGCTGCAGCCCTACTAAGAGCACCTCCTGGGCACATTCACTATGTTCCCTTTTAAAAGGACCCTGACCACCTGAAATCTTCTTCTTTGACTCTCTTCTCTCTTCTTCTGTCCCAAGAGGCTGATTCCCCTAACCTGCCCTTTTCCCATTTCCCATTCACTTTCCTCCACTCCAGCTCTGCAGAATGGCATCTTTCTTGAGAGCTCTGGTTTTTTTTTTTTTTTTTTTTTTTTTTAAATTACAACACTGAGGTTTGTAAAAATACATGACAACGTCAAGGCCATGCCTTTGTCAAATATGAGCCACCAGGAAGGTGAGATTAGTTTATACTTTGAATGCAATAAATTTTGTTAAATGCCTTACCAATTAAATTTCTTTCTTTCTTCCTTTCTTTTTTGTTCTTTTCTGGGGGGATGGAATGGAGTGCTTTGGCTGACTCTCAGGGAGCTCTTGCTGGTTTTGAATTCACTTTGTAGGGATGGCCTTGCACTCTTTCTAAAGATACTTTTTGAGGTTTTATTGTACTTTTGAGTGTTTGCCTGAATGTATGTCTGTATACCATATACATTCTGTGCCTATGGAGGTCAGAAGAGGTGTCAGATGCTCTGGGATTGGAGTTACACATGGCTGTGAGCAGCCATGTGGGTGAGGGGAATTGAACTCAGGTCGTGTGGAAGAGCAACCAGTGCTCTAAAGCACTAAGTTAAGTCATCTCTTCATCTGGCCTTGCTATACTTTTTTCCCCTTTTGAGACAGGGTTTCTCTCTAGCCCTGGGTGTCCTGAGCTTGATATGTACAGCAGGCTGCTCTTGAACTCTCAGAGGCCCACCTGCCACTGCTTCCACACTGGCCCTGAGCTTTCACCTCTTTAGTCTTGGAATTAGAGGCCTTCAGTACCACAGCAAGCTGTACAACTGAAATAACAAGGCTTCTGCTTGTGAACAGAGTGCAATGTCATATGCTATACTGTGGTATTTTCTGCTTAGTAATAAAGGTGAAGCCACCTGGTATGAAAAATGAAGTTATTACAGCAAGTGTTTATTACTCCCAGGACTAGGCTTGCTCCAAAAATTAATCAAGAATGCTAAGGACAAATGACCTGAAGGCTATACAAAGTCTAAAATCTTTAAATAAATCTAGATGATGAAATTAAAATTTGATCAATATAACAAATATCAAGATTTGAAAGGAACTTGGCACCCACAGCACCCAGCCTTCCTGGATTATAAATTAGTGGGAAAAAACGTGCACCATTAAGAAATGATAGGCAGAAAAAGCAAGACACGGGCAGGTGTAGATACAGAAAGTCTACAGATTACCTGTAGTTCAACACAGACCCCCCCCCGTTTATTATTAAAATACTTATTATTCCTCTTATTAAACATGGCCACGGGTACACACCTGTAATCTCAGTACTTGAAAGGCAGAGAGAAAAAAAAAAATAAAAAAGGCAAGTCCAACTTCTTTTCATTAGAAAAAGGCCTATTAAAAAAAAAAAATCCCACAGGGACTGAGATGAAAGGTAGAGAAATAAGAAAGCCAAATGTGTTCTAGCTATTTTTATTTTAAAACAGGTGGAGTGGAACACATATGTAATTTCTTCCAAGGTTGAGGCTTGACAAAGTGGATTTCAAATTTGAGGGCAACCTAAAGACCCTGTTAAAGGAAGCCGGTCCCTTCCTAATTTGTATTGTCATATGACTTTGGACTCCTGACCTGCTTAGCCCCGCGGAGCTGCTGGCATTGCAGGCAGGCACCAGCCTTGACTCACTTGGTAAGGCATTTTCATATGCTAACACTCCTGCCTGGAGTACGGGAAAGCTAACCCTGAAAGAGTGCTTTAACTCCAGGCAAGAGATGCGAAGATGGGACTAAGCGGCGTGACCCTCAGCTTCAGCAACAGAGGAATGGGAACCACACTTCTGGGCTTCAGCCCAGCGTCGTCCTTCAAACCAGCGCAGCAGCAACTTCCCCAGCCCGTTCTTTCTTTGCAAAGCTGCACAGGATCACGTTAGGGCAGCGACTGCTCTTTTCGCCGGGGACTTGATGGATGCAGGTGGTGCAGGCACCGGCACCCCGCGCTGTTCTCTTTTTGCCCGGGAAACGCAAGGACCGAGTCACCGCGACGGTCGGGAGGGAAACGCGAGTGGAAAAGAACCACGAAGTACGCAGATCCTCGGCCACGGCGGGTTCCGTGCCCCAGGCGGGCAGTCGTCCCCGCCCGGCCCCGCCCCCGGCCCGCCAGGCCCCGCCCCCGCCCCCGCCCCCGAGACCTCAGCGGCCGCACCCACCCAGACCGTGCGTCCCCCGACGCGGCGGGGACGCAAACGCCGGTCCGAATCTACGCCGCAAGCGGGACGCCAGCATTGCCAACCGAAAGCTCGGCTCGCGAGCGATCGGCGACGGCGCGCGGGCGGCTCGTCAAGTCTCGCGGTGTTTGGCCAGGGGGCGGGGCTGTCAGCGAGGGGGCGGAGTCCAGCCGGGCTGAGGGTGGGGGGCGTGCCCGGGCGTGTTGACTCCGCTCCGGCGTCTTTCTTCCGGGGTCGCCCCGCGCATGCGCAGCTCCCCGGCGGCGCTGGAAGCTGGGACGCTGCAGCCGCCCGGGTCGGTGGGTCGCGCGGGGTCGCGCGGGGTCGCGGGGTCGCGGGGTCGGGTGCGCCCTCCCGCGGGCGCTGGCGGTCGTGGTGCCCGCGCCGGCGGCTCTCCGTGCGGCGCTCCGCCCGCCCGCCCGCCGCTGCTTCGGCCTGCAGGGCTCCCCCTACGCACTTGGTGACGAGCGGCGGCGGCACTGCGCCCTGGGAGCCGGGCGCCCGCTGCATCTGCGGTAAGTGCGGTGCGCGGCCGCTGCCCGGCAGTGTGGACGCGGCAGGGAGGACCCGGAGAAGCGGGGCCAGCGGGTCTGCAGAGCCGAGGCGTCCCGCGCGTCCCTCTCCTTCTGAGTCGTGAAATCCTGAAGAATTTGGGCACGGAGGAGCAGCAATACAGGAGGAGCGTGCCCTGTTAGGAAAACAGAGTTGGTAAACAAAGAAAGCCCAAGACTCTTTCTTGCTTCTCTCAGTCTCCTGGTCCCCAACCATTAAGGATTTTGTCCGTAGGTGATGTGAGTGTTTACTGACAAAATTGGAATCGTATATAGGATGTCGATTTTTGGGGGGGGCTGCTAACAGTATATGGGTCCCTCCACTTGTTTTTTCAGACTATCTTTTATTTATTTTTGCTTTTCGAGGCAGGGTTTCAGGCTTTATTTTTAAATGTCACTATTGAACATGGGCTTCACACTTTCAGGAGCAGCTCACTTAAAAGCTGATGGTGTATTCTGTGATTTGAGACATTGTCATGTAGCTCAGGCTGACCCAGGACCGCCTGGGTAGGGGAAACTGACCTTGAACTCCTGGCTTCTCCTGCCCCCTAGGTGCTGGGATCAAAGGAGCTTGCTGTGCCTGGTCTACAAGCCAGTATTTTGCAACTTAATATGTGGACACTTTCACAATATCTAAGGCCGCATGTTATATGAAGCAGGTCGAATAGCGTTTACATAGAGCTCAGTCAGAGTTGGCATGAGAGGGAATGACTGCCTAAAGAATATTACACATTTCACTTTTCATTGCGTGTTTTAAAACTTTAATACCATATGGCAGCATTTCATTCTTTAAAATTCAGGCGGTTACTTTTCATGGAGTAGTATGGTAGCAAATCAGTGCCTAGAAGTTTGTACTCGAATAAGAAAAAAAAAAAAAAAAAAGAAAGAAAGAAAATCAGGGATTAGATATTTTGCTAGGTGAGTCCTAAGGAGAGGCGTGTGCATTGGTACAGCACAACTTGCTAAAAATGAGACTGAAACATAGCAGGTCTATACTGAAACTAACTTTATTTATTAACGATTTATTATTGTGCTGCTGTTGATAGCAGTCACAGGCAACCCTCTTGTTCTAAACAGGCCCCTCCTTCAGTCACAGACTTAACTGTGAGCATTTTATGTAGGAAATGGGCTTAAAAGACACTCTGCTATAGCGTCTTCGTGGTTTTTGGCAGCTACATGCTGGTACTGTTTTTCACGAAGGCCTCAGCACCTCTGTGGTTGGTTCGCACAAGCCCCGAGCACCTGTCTGTCCTCTCTGAAGTGAATGTGTTGAGTGCTAGAACTGCATTTTTGACCCTGCCTTGTCCTGATTGGAAGCCACCTTATCAAAAATGTCTAAAGCAATATGTGTAGGAAGCTATCGTGGTGGTGTTCTAGATGAGGTTTCTTGTGGTTTGATATTAAAATAGTGGCGCTCTGTAAGTTGACAAGAATACAAAGTAGAAGTTAAGATTAAAATTTGCTCCTTTCATGAGTGTCTTATGGTATATTAACCTTTTCATTTATGGCAGGTGCCACTACTGTAGTTTAAGGAAATATGACCAATAGTAAGATGTAAATAAAGTATGGTCATTATTTATTTGAGGAGAAACCTTTGTGTAGTAAAACCTCAGCTGTTCTTGCCTGTTATGGATAACTACTGAAGTATTTGCCATCTATTGTCTCTTGGACAGTCTGTATAGGCTATGTCTCGTATTTGTGGGGCACAACATTATTTCAGGCTAGGAAAATATTTTTAATAGAATACAAGGTCTATTCACTTTTAGTTATTGAAGCAGGGAGGATCAGGAAATGTGCTGAGTGTGTATGTTTATAAATTAAGAGCAATGTCAGGAGTTGGAGCTGAGTAGTTTCCTGGCATGCCTGCGGCCCTCCATAATTCCTGGTACCCAAAACGCAGCAGTCCTATGGTTGATGGGAAGCTTGCCTTCTCGTTTAACCTGAAAATTCTTTTGAGGGCATATTCACATGAGTAGTCAGAAATAAATCAACTCCGGTTTGGATCTTGTTTTTTTTTTTTTTGGTATTGTTTTTTCCAGACAGGGTTTCCCTGTATTGCTTTGGATCCTGTCCTGGAACTGTCTTTGTAGACCAGGCTGGCCTGAAACTCACTGAGATCTCTCTGCCTCTGCCTCTGCCTCCTGAGTGCCATTGTTACTCAGCATCACTCTCTTTTTAATTAAAAGCACAAGGGATTATATCTTTGATTATTAATCTTCTTTCTTTGTGTTGTTTGTGTATGTGTGTGGTTTTTTTGTTTGTTTGGTTTTGTTTTGGTCAGGTAAAAGAACTCAAAATTTATTACATACCAAAAAATGTGAGAACCCTAAGATCCCACTTACGGGGTTTAAGGACAGCCATTTCATCAGGAGTTGGCCCTCCAGAGTTGGGATTTAAGGAAGAAGCCAGAATGGGGAGAGGGGGCGTGAAATTGAGAATTGGTGATGAGTAAACAAAAGGAGAAAAAGATTTTTAAAAAGATTCCTTAGAATCAGGTATGTGGGCGCAGAAGGATGTGAAGTTACAGTTCCCTTAGCTTTGTGATAGTGAGTAATGTCTAATTATAAACACTCTTTATTAGTTGTGTCCTGCGGGGGAACTGGATTAGAATATAATTGGAAGTTACACTCATTTGAAGAGCTGTCCCCCTGCTCTGAGCCAGCGCCCCAAATGCCCCTGCCTGTCTTGAGTACCCTTGAGTTTGCTTCTGGCTTTTGTAGCTGTGCCTGCCCCTGTCTCTTTTCCATTGCTAGCTCATTTCCTTTAAGCTTGACATTGCTGCTGCTTTTCTCTCTGGTTAATTCTTACTGGCTGCCATTCTACTACGTCGGATTGCTATACCTCTCTCATTTCTTTATTTTAGTAACCTTAACATTTTCCAATCATGTAGGCCCCAAATCAAAAGGTCACCCTAGATTTTTCACTGTTATTCTCAATCGTCGTTTCTGTTACCATGCCTTCCATGTACACAGTAAAATACCTCTAATCTAGGTTTTGCTTTTCATCCTGCTTTCTGGTATCATTGTCCTAAAAAGCCCGGCTCCTGTTCTTTGCCAGGTGACAAATGAAAACCCAAAACGTGTGTGTGTGCGCGTGTGTGTGAGTGTGTGAGTGGTGTGCACGCGTGCGTGTGTCTGCATGTCTGCCACCAGTGAGTGCGTTTTTTCTCATTTGGTCCTTGTGATATATGTTAGGGGTGTGTGTGTATGTTTGTATGTGTGTGTCTGCCTGCCACCGGCCAGTGGTTTATTCTCATTTGGTCCTTGTGGTGATGGATGTTAGGAGCAGCTGTTACGAGGAGGGGCTGGGATTGATGCTGCAGGCACCATTCATTCCTCTTCCTAGTCTCTTAAAAGGCCCCAGTGCTTTTTCAAAACTTAACGTGTATAGTAACAGGTGTTAGCATTGCCCCCCACCACATGCACACATATGTAAACTTCAGTTACTTTTCTCCCTCTCGTGCATTGCTCATTTCTTGGGATCTTTTTAACGATGTTTAAAAATAAGTCCTGTGTAAAGACAAGCTCTGAGCCTGTTCTCAGTGGGTAAGGTGGTGGGTTCTGCTTGTTCAGATCTGGATGATGTGATGTGGTTTCCTTCCCACGCTGGGCACCGGGATTGGATGGTGAAGTTCTTGCAGAGAGCTTCACGACTTATAAGAAGTGTTTCCTTTTAGCTGCCATGCCCCCCTTCAAGTATAAGAAGTGTTTCCTGTTAGTTGCCACCACGCCCCTCTTCAAGTATAAGAAGTGTTTCCTTTTAGCTGCCACATTTTTGTTTCTGTTTCATTTATGTTTCTGTTTCATTCCCTGACAGCTTACACACCACACACATTACAGAATAACTAGAGTTTTATGTGTCAGGTTACTAAGAAATGATAAGTCCGTTATATATAAATCAACTTATTTACATAATTGGTCTTTGGAGCTGTATCTAAGTTTGTAAGCCATCACCTAGTGAACAGAAGTGCTCTCATGAGCACAGTTTCTTCTGTGTGTATGTGGAAAAAATGGAGCAAGATCATGTGTGTTCTGTTTAACAGTGAGCAATGCACAAATGAGACCCTCTCTCAACCCCACCGACTCAAAGAGAGGTAGGAGTCCGTTGCGTCCACGTAACAGGATAGGCTAGCAAGAGAAACGTGTGGTGCATGAGTTTACTTAGATGATGCTGTGACACAGGAGGTGTGAACATTCGGAGGCCGAGAAACTAATTTAATAGTTAGGTTTGGAGAACCTATAGCCCTGTAGAAGTGTAATTAGACAAGAGGTGTGATCAGGTGTGGGGATGGAGGGTGAAATGGCAAGCAGACTTGTCTGTGAAGATTCTTCTCGGCTTCTGTGTGTCTTCCCCTTGCACAGGTCAGCGTGCTTGAATGCAGTTGATTGGATCTTTCAGAAAAGGTCGGTCAGAATTTCTTCATCACAGGCTCTGTGATCAGAGGACAGAAGAGGAGTAAGATAAAATGTCCAGATTTTATGGCCACTTTTGGGGGTGGGAACTGTAATTTGTGTAACCTCCTTTAGGGAGGAAGAATGATACTTCTGTGGGCAGGGGGATTAAGGGTGGGCACTCTGCGGGCCTGCTCCTGAGTGAGGCCTTTCCAGTATCAGAGTAGTCCTGGTGCTGACGCCCCATGCTTTGGGGTACTGTGTGTTTGAACCAGAGCAGAGGTTTCTTGTTTCCTTTTCTGTCCTGATGGCTCGAGGCTGGTGAGTGAAGAGTCTGGGATCATGTGTCTGTAAGAAATGAGAGAATGAGATGGTAAGAGCTTGCATGCCAGTTTTTCCACCCTGAATGTATTTAGTAGTTCAGTGTTTAGACGTACTTAACACCTAGAAACCAGTTACAACATGTATGTGCTGTAAGCATGCTCTGTCCCCAATGTGGTAGTGATCGGGACCGTAAGAAGTGCCTGATGGTAGGGAGGTCTTTAGGTTAGTGGGGTTCAGGCCCTGGGAAGGCATTAACATGCTGCTCAGGTGGTTTCTGGGTAATTCTCAGAAGAGGTAGTTCTAGCAAGAGACAGTTCAAAGAGTGAGCCTAACTGCCTGGCTCTCCAGCTTCCTGTTTGGGGTGTGTCTGCTGGCTCCCTTCATTGCCACCCACTACCACGTGCTCCAAGCAAGAGAGCTGTTTGAAAACGTTGAAAGTGTGCAGGGAATAAGTTTCGTTCTGATATCTTGATGAAAAACTGACAAATGCAGTGCATTGTGGTATATTTAACTGAAACCTGTTAGGGAACAAAGATTTCCCAGTAGTATCATCAACAAGAAAATGCCATGGGCTCTAGGAACCATGTCATCTTTTTTGTTTGTTTTGTTTTTCAAGACAGGGTTTCTCTGTGTAGCCCTGGCTGTCCTGGAACTCACTCTGTAGACCAGGCTGGCCTTGAACTCAGAGACCCCCTGCCTCTGCCTCCTGAGTGCTGGGATTAAAGGCGTGCACCATCACAGCCCAGCTCCACACGGCCTTCTGTATGTGATCATCATCAGTGATATAATTGTAAAGTTACTACGTATGCAAATGAGAGATTTAAACTACTGAAGGAAGTGAAGTTAGAGTTTCTCTTTCAGTAGGTCTTTCTCTGCTCATGGGTTGCTAGAGTCATTGCTCCGGCTCTGATGTACAAACAAGAAATTTGTGCACCTTAAGAATATGAAAAGCAAAGAACTTTCTGCACAAACACAAGGTGACTTTAGATTCTCCGGGCCCATCCTCAGGACCTGTGTGAACACCCAGGGCAGTAGTAGCATGCCTGTAATTTAGCACTGGGGAGGAGATGGGAGGGTGCCAGGGGCTCGCTGGCTGCCCATGTAGCTGAACTGGTCAGCACCAGGTTCAGTGAGAGGCCCTTTCTCAGCAGGATGGATTGACGAGACACTCCAGATTTACCTCTGGCCATCTTATTCATGCATGTGCAGGGAGCCCTCCACATACATGTTCATAAACAGTTGCACATACACATGTGCACCACACACTCTGAAGCACACGTCACGGGAGTGAAGAACAGTGAGCGCCTGTGTCTTACCGACAAATGATAGAAATGGAGTCAGCAGTTCTAGTGCTTCGGAGATAAGAGTGGGAGGGTTCAGAGCTCAAGGTCACCATCTCAAAAGTGTGCAAGGAGTCTGAGCAGCCCAAACAAGTGGCTACTCCAAAGGGAGATGGTGAGCAGCCTTTCATTCCTTCAGACTTTATAATTATGCAAATCACAGCAGCTTCTTAGATTCTGAATCTGCTCTGTCAGGTAATGCCAAGAATGTAAGTTTTCTCAAGCTACAGATTTGTACATATTTATCCATACATATTTTTATACATAGTAGTTTGATTTATTGAATAAGAATTATGGGATATTTTCTGAATTTTTTCAATAAATAGGAATTTTAAAGTTTTTCTGGTAGATATACAAAATTAGCTTTTTAATTTTTTTTAAAGAGATTTAATTATTCATAAATTATTCATTTATAAGTGTTCTGCCTGCACGTATGCCTGCAGGCCAGAAGAGGGCACCAGATCTCATTACAGATGATTGTGAGCCATCATGTGCATCATGTGGTTGCTGGGAATTGAACTCCCGACCTCTGGAAGAGCAGCCAGTGCTCTTAACTCCAGCCCTAACCTGTTTTGTTTTGTTTCTTTTTTTTTTTTTTGAGACAATGTATCAGATATCTCAGGCTGGCTTCAAACTCCTCATGTCACAGAGAATGACCTGGAAGTTGTGATTTTCCCTCTTCCCTCTGTTTCCTGGTGTGTTGGGTTACCTGAGCCCCTCCACCACTTACACAGTGTTGGGGACTGAACTCCGGGTTCATTCCTGGTATTTGATCTATCTCCCAGCTCATAACAATTAGTTTGTAAAAGTTTGTTAATATGCCCTTTTGTTTTAGAGTGCTGTGAATGTGTCTAGATTTGGTCCCTATGGTTTGTGGCTTGTTTGTTTGTTTAAGATGTGGTTTATTTGTGCCCACACACTTTGAACCTCCATTCTTTCATTCCCTCTTTTGATACAGGGTCCCAATGAAGTTCTTGCAGGTCTGGAACTCCCTTGGGCTGGCTTCACCTTCACAGAAATCACCCGCCTCAGCCTCTGTTGCTGGGATCAAAGGCAGACACCACTATGCCTGGCTTCTTTGCTTTTCTTATAATCACTTATTCTCTATTAGACATTGTAAATAACATAGTAAGTCAAAGGGCATTTGTTTGGTGTTGTTTCCACATAGTAGCTGGTTGGGAGTCTTTGAAGAGATATTAGAAAGTATAAAGTCACAGATGATTGGAGCAGTGTTACTGTCTGGGGGTGGCATGCCAGGTAATTGTGAGGGACCTCTGCTAATGAACAGCTCAGCTTGACATTTAGCTTCCATTTAAGACAGGTGGATGTGATGCTAGAACTATGGAAAGCGAGCACTCAAATATTTTTTGATGTGGAACTTTGTGCATGAAGAATGGTACTTTTCAGAGTCCAGGCTGTGCTGAGGCCTTCAACTGACATCAGGGAAATTTCTGCACAGGCATTATTGTCAGCCACTTGGTGGCTTAGGTGTTGCCTGTGGAACCATAGGTAGATGGATCACTCAGTGCTTTGCTGTCATTGCCAGTAGGTATCTGTGTCTTGCCATAAGTTTAGTAGAAGGAAATATTTAGAAATCCCTTAGCTCTGAAAACTGGTTTATGATATTTGGCAGGACAGCTGATTTTATTCCTGTGACCCCGGTACTTTCAGTTTTCCTATTCTCTCTCTCTCTCTCTCTCTCTCTCTCTCTCTCTCTCTCTCTCTCTGTGTGTGTGTGTGTGTGTGTGTGTGTGTGTGTAGTCTAAGCTTGCAACCCTCGGCTTGCAACTCAAGTGCTGCGGTTGCAGGTGTGTGCCACTATACTCAGCTCATCCTTGTGTCCTTGACTACATTGCATGTATGTCTGCATGCATGCATGTTTTGGGCTTTTGAGGCAGTCACGTAGCCCAGGCTGGCATTGACAGACCGTGAGGCTGAGCATGATTTTCCCTGCTCACGTCCTTGCTTCCACCTCTTGAGGGCTGTGGGTACTGGCGTGCTTTGTGTGGTAGAAGGGTTTCTCTCAGGTCCTCAGGCCAGCTAGGAGAGTAGCCCACCAGCTGACTGCATACATCCCAACCCTGCGGCCGATTTAAAAGTCTTTAGTTAGTTTTCGTAGTCAGACATAAGAGCAAAGTTTAGAAGACAAAAGTAATCAGGATTTTAGTGTGAAAAGCATGCAGTAGCTTCTGATGGTTTAACGTGCATTGTAAATCCTATCCTAAAAGAGTTACTTTCAAGTGCTTCTAAACCATTTTAATGGGATTGATTTTTTTTCTTTCTTGTAAATAGAGTGATTTGATCTCATTCTTTAGTGAGCCGGAGAAATTAAAACTGCAGAAACATTTCCACAGTGGTTTACACATATCTGTGTAGGAAAGTTGTCTTGACTCTTATAAAGGGACAGTAAAATCGCTGTGCTTCTGTAGCTGAAATGCCTCATTACTTAAAATGAGAAAGAAGCTTGTTTTTTTTTTTTCTGTTAAGAACTTGTGTTACCTGTATTTAGTAATCACTGGTTTTATTATATCACAAAAGCACTTAACAAAGTAAATGTAATTGGCATTAGTTAAATGTACACACACACACACACACACACACACACACACAGCACACAGAGTATAATGGAAATAGCCTCAGGAAAAATGACAGTTTCTTTGTGAGTGGCAATTCTCAGAGTTAAGGCCCTGATTCTTCTGGTATTGTTTCCCTGGTGACACTGATCTTCTCTAGGGAGACGTCTGACTGCAACAACTACAACTACAATATGGCGTTAAAGCTCCTAAGTTCTTGGTAGTTATTAAGGCAGTGATAGAAAACTATTGTTACTAAGTATATTATAAACATTTCATTCCTTAGGAAACTGGTCCAGGATGCTTTAAATTGTGAGAACTTTAAGATTATCTTTAAAATTGTTTCAGTTATAACCTAGCAAAAATTGTTATGGGTAGTAATGGAGACTTTTTATCAAAACTAGTGGGAATAATTTCAGAGAACAGATGGTATCCACCTTCCCCGTGTATTAATCTAGAAATTTACTAACTGTATTGGAATATTTGTCCAAATAGAAGCCAGAAGAAGTTGTTACTCTTCCCTGAGGCCTTCTAGACCAGCAATTCTCAGCCTCCCTAACACTGAGACCATGTAACACAGTGGTCCTCAGCCTCCCTAACACTGTGACCCTGTAACACAGTGGTCCTCAGCCTCCCTAACACTGTGACCCTGTAACACAGTGGTCCTCAGCCTCCCTAACCCTGTGATCCTGTAACACAGTGGACCTCAGCCTCCCTAACACTGTGATCCTGTAACACAGTGGTCCTCAGCCTCCCTAACACTGTGATCCTGTAACATAATGGTCCTCAGCCTCCCTAACACTGTGATCCTGTAACACAGTGGTCCTCAGCCTCCCTAACACTGTGATCCTGTAACACAGTGGTCCTCAGCCTCCCTAACACTGCCACTCTACTATAAAGTTCCTTGTGTTGTTGTGAGTCCCAAGCATAAAGTTATTTTGTTGCTACTTCATAACTGTAACTTTGGTACTGTTATGAATCATAATGTAAATATTTTTGAAGATAGAGGTTTGCCAAAGGGGTTGAACCTCACATTATCCCAGACTGTGTTGGAGGTTGAAAAAAAACAAAACAAAACAAAACAAAACAAACAAACAAAAAAAAAACAACAGCAACAGCAACAAAAACCCCTACCAACTAACTAAACAAACAAACAAAAAAACAACAAAAACCCACAGCTGCTTAAATTGGCTTTCTTATAGATGGAAGTCACAATTAATGAGAATTTCCTTTAAGGATTTATCCCAATTTGGAGGAAAAAGTTTGTACTGGAAGAAATTGCACACATTCACTGTTCTTACAGGAAAACCTATCTTGTGAGCTGTAGGCACGTACTAACACATTTCTACCCTGGACCACCCATCTTTAAGACAGGATAACTAGTTTGCAGCAATGATGTTGGAGATCACAAGTTACTAAAAGGTATCCTTATCTTTTTAAGTTGCAGTTTCTGTCTGTAACCTTGGCAATGGGAGAGCGAACAGGAAGAGTTTGAAAGTGTGAGGCCAGCCCAGGCTACACACTGCTTTTAGGGATCTAGGCTCCAAAACAGAACCTACTTTAGAAAGAAAAAAAAAAAAAAAAAAAAAAACACCCCAAACTCCATGGTTCCTCTAAAGCTAACAGTGATTTCTCACCGAGAACAAAGAGAGCCCACCCCTTGTGTGATCTAGACTTTCTGGCACTTCGCACAACTCCAGGGAGTTGTTTTTCTGTTCTTTTTGTCTGTCAAGACGATATGTCACAAGAAACTTCTCTTGTGGATGTTACTGTTGTTCACGATTGGCATTTGTGTCAAGAATTTAAGATTGCTAAAGTCCCTGTTCCTTTACTGCTTTGAGATGTCTATCTTGATCCTTCCTGTTGTTATTGTTTTATTTATCCTTATGCATTTGTGTTAATGATTATGGAGGTTTGTAGAGGAGACAAAGGCAGCAGAAAAATCATGTACTTCAGTGAGCACTGTTGTAGCTGACTGTCACTTGATGAGAAAGAGCCCTAAGTTACCTTTTCTAGAATCTGTCAGTGCTTTCTGAGTAAGAGCTCCCTGACTCAGTGGGTGGCTGCTGTTCTAGTACCCGTAGTTACTCTGGGCACCTGCCTTTCCAAGATCAGAATAGACAGGTCTTTTAGGATGGAAGCTGGTAACAGGTGTTTAGAACTCTGCCAGGATTTGAGACAAACCCTGAGTTTAATAAGCTCAAACACTGCCCCCCATAATTATCATGCTGGTTTTCGGATTCTGTTCCTCTGGCTCCAAACAAGGAGGAGAAATCATAACAGTTTGATCAAAGAATATTGGCAGAGTTTATTTTAAGGGATTGGCTAAAATGAGAGTGCCTAGGGGTGGGGTATTCACTTGAGGTGGACACAGGAGGATAGGAGCACAAGGCAATCCTTGCCAGTGTAGAGCTGGAGCTGTCCGAGATCGTATGGAACTCAGTCCAGGTGGGTGGGACAGAAAGGAGAGATCGACGCTGGGCAGCCATAACCATTCCTTGAGAGCCATGTTGCTGTGCAGCCCAGGCTGGCCTCATACTCCTGTCAATCCTCTGAATGGCAAGCAGGTGCAGCCTTACCCGGCTCAAATTTACCACAAATTGGGGGTTTTGGTTGAGCCCCAAGAGAGAAGCTGATGAAGGGACTGAGCTCCGGGCCTTGGAGACTGCTCTTGTCTGGATGAGCTGTGAGTAGAATTTGTCAGGAATTTACATGGGGTAGTAGCAGAAACAGTTGTTCATAGGCTAATTTGCTGAATACTTCCTCTACATACTTCACAGGGGAGGGTGCAGCCTCACAGGGCACGGTGCAGGGGGGAGGCTGTGGGCTTTGGAGCATTGTGGGAGCCTGATGTTTGAAACACCTGCCAAGTCTGCTGCCCTAACCAGGAAGCAAAGCCTTTTGCCTCCAGCAGTATTTCAGTGCTGTCTGCTAAACAATAACTTCTAGTTGCTATTCACGTAGGAAACAGTGTATTCTTCCTTTGTCTAACCCAGTGGTTCTGGACCTTCCTAATGCTGTGACCCCTTAATACAGTTCCTCAGGTTGTGGTGACTGTGATTTTGGTACTGTTATGAATCATAATGTGACTATCTTTGGAGATAGAGGTTTGTCAAAGGGGTCGAGACCCACAGGTTGAGAACCTCTCCTGTGATCCCCAGTTACCGAGAATGAGGTAGTACGGTCCTGTTCTAGGCTGTCCTTGAAACATGTCTCCGTAGCTTTTGTACATTTTCCTTTTGTAGACTTGTGCTAGATTGCTTTTGAGATAAAGGCCAGTTTCTCCTTTGCATTAGATTATTCCCATTTTTATCTACAGCTTATTTCCTGTTTGCCTCCTGTATACCCACATCCACATATGCATATGTAAAAATAGTCATAGTATTAGGACATAACTGTTTTTAAAGATTTATTATGTATACAGTGTTCTTTCTGCATGTGTCCTTGTCCGTCAGAAGAGGGCACCAGATCTCATTATAGATGGTTGTGAGCCTGGGAATTGAACTCAGGACCTCTGGAAGAGCAACCAGTGCTCTTAATCTCTAACCTATTGATCTGTCCAGCCTCAGGGAATTACTCTTTAATCTTTTACCCCACATCAAGGTGCTATACCCATCCTTGAGTTTTTAACAAAAGTTGTTTTGTTGTTTAATAAACAACAAACAAAAGCCCTCTCCAAACCACTTTTTGTGGCTTTTGACAGTGAATTGAAAAGAAAACCAAAATACTGTAGCCAGTTGGTGTTGTCAGTGTGATCTTGAATGAGTGGTTTTACCCAAAGAGAGAGAACACTATTACAGTAAGGCTTTTTTACATTTTATTTTATATGTGTATGGGTGTTTGCCTGTCTGTGTGTGCTTGGTGCCCATGAAGGCCAGAAGAGGGAGTCAGATCTCCTGGAACTGGAGTTACAGATGGTCGTGAGCCATCATGTAGGTGCTGGAAATCAAACCTGGGTCTTCTGGAAGAGCAGCCAGAGCTAATAACTTCTGAGCCCTCCCTTGGGTCCTAATCATATTTTGCCCTTTGTGATTATTCTTCTGGACTGCTTTTCAGAAACGTTATAAAGTATTCTATTTTGGCTTATACACACAGAGAAGTAAATGGGTTATAGCTTTGTGCTGCAGTTGATTTCAGAGTTCAGGAGAGCAGTTTCAAAATGTCAATAATAACTGCTTTTTGACATAGTCTCATTTTATTGCTGTTGTCACCATAATTGAACAACAAGCGCTTGTGTGCCATAAAAGCTCTTGTGACTTTAAGGCAGGTAGGTGAAAAGGAGGACTCAGAAGGTAGAGACGATAGGCTGCAGGCACTATGCTGGCCTGCTCCTGTCACCTGGCACTCAGTACCATGCACTGGCACTCAGTACCATGGCCAGCCCAGGTTGCGTAGCCTGCACACAGGTGCAAAGGAGCCCTTTAAAAAAAGACCCTGCCCACGCACACTCTTTCCCTATCTTCCCTCAGTTTTCCTGTCTCCCTCCTCTCTTCTGTCCTCTCTCTATCTCTGTGTCTCTTTACCTCTTTTCTCTTTCCTTCCCCCTCTTTCCCTTTCTAATAAAGCTCACTAAGCTCTGTCTACCTGGCGTATTTGTCCCCCCCCCCCCCTTGGTCATCCTATCCTGCCATGGAATCAGCCAAGGTTCTTCTTGCACTTTATCATAACATAGACTTTGCCCATCTTCGTTGTTTTTGAACACATTCTAAGCTTGTGCACTTTCCCGTAAGTTTTGTGTATTCTCTATGCTTAGAGTAATGCACAGAACTCCAGTATTGTTATTCTGTGACTTTCTTTTCTCTGTGTGTATCTCTGTGTACCTTTTGCTGGAAGTAATGTTCTACTTGTGAGCTGGAGGACACAGAACTGCTAATTCTTCTACCTGTATTGGGGTTCTTGCATCTCTACAGCAGTCTTTCGTTGCTCACATATAAACCCTGCAAGTTACTTACAACTTTAATTGTGTTGACATAGACACTGCTTTTGCTTCCAAGGAACAGTAGGGAATTTATTCTGAGCCAAATATGAGTGATAATGCCCCATAAATGTGGATTTGAACATTGTACTCCACTGTAGAATGACTGTACAATTTTGTATGAACTAAATATATTGGTGAGGGAAATTGGGCTTAGTAGATTGGGAGAATCTTACAGCATCCTTACTGTAAGCTAAGTAGATTGCTAAATTTAACAGTTCATTCAATGTTTTACACACTGTCAGAGCTTGATAGCTGCCTTAGAGTTTCTACGGCTGAGATGAAACACCATGGCCAAAAACAAGGGGGAGGAGGGTTTATTTTACTTAGTCTTTCATATAACAGCTTATCATCAGAAGCAGGAACTCAAGTAGGGTAGGAACTGGGAGGCTGAATCTGATGCAGAGACCATGGAGGGAGGGATGCTGCTTACAGGCTTGTTCCTTGTGGCTTGCTCAGATTACTTTCTGAGCCCAGGACCAGCAGCCCAAGGATGGAACCACCCACAATGGCCTGGACTCTCCCCTATCAATCACCAATTAAGAACATGCCCCAGAGCCTTGCTTGTGGACAATCAGAGAGGCATCTTCTCATTTAAGGTTTCTTCTTCCCAGGGTCTCTAGTTTGTATCATCTTGACAAAAAAGTAACCAGCCTATGCTTTGTATATACACTGCTGTAGTTTGTTCAGTAAGGTAACATTGTTATTAATACAGTGCTTTTCTTCTGTTTTTCACATACCAGTTAAGACCTATGTGATGTAAATTTTGTTTCCTAAACTTGGGCATCTAGCAAGCTGTGGAATCATGCTCTAAACTAGGTACACATTTTATAATTATTATTTGAAGTGTGGTTTGGTTTTTATTTATGTAGAAATGAGAGATTTCTGTTAGAACATAATGCA